TTAGCCATCTTGATCTTGGGATTGACTTTCCTTTCGATACACTCACATTCGACCAGGGTACTCTCCGAAAAGGTTTATTTCACAGTCCCAACCATGCCAACGCTTTAGAGGAATTTTAAAATGTTTAAATACTTTAGTGAGAAAGTATTTGTATCCCATCCCATGAATGCCTTTCCTCTCAATGACAGTTTTGTACATGTGCTCAAGCATAAACCCTGGGAGATTCAGAGGTTCGAATATGCACAACATCTCCATCACAAATAAATTAGCAGAAGTAGCTGAAGTCCTCTTTTTAGTCCGAGGAAGGAGAGTTTTATTTACAAACTTGAACACCAACTGATACTCGCTCTTCCTGACCTTCTTTAAAACCCCAACAACCTTTGTTGTAGGAAGCTTCGAAATCGAGGACACAAACTCAATCGAACAAGTTTTCCCAATGACAGACCCGGTTCCCTCTTTAGGTACCATGAGAATTTTTCCCAGCAGAAACTCATCCAGATGCACTGCAATATCATTTACTCTTGTGAGGACACTCCCATCTTCCTTAAATTGAATGTTGTTATAGAAATTCACGCACTTCTTCTTCGTAAAGGATAGGAGATTTCTTGTTGAATAGATGCATCCATGATTGAATTTCCACCATGTCATGTAGAGAGTCCATGCCGGGAAGATTGATTATTCCCATGTCAAAGACTCTTCCAGCCAGCACAGCCTGGGTTCTCAAGTTATCAATAATTTCCTACATGTTGACCTCCTCTTCACCCCTTTGTTGGGTACCAGGTCCCTATGATCTCTTCCGTTTTCCTGTAGAACTCTTCTTCGTGGGTTTTGTTTTCACAACCTTCTTTGGATCCTTTGACTTTGTTTTTCCTGACTTTTCTTCTTGTTTTTCTTGTCCATTTCTTCGGCAGACACACTATGACAACAAATTCAGGGATTCTAAAGTTTGATACTTTGAAAGTTCTGGAACTCCTAATTTCAGCCGTAGATCTTGCACTAGCCTTTAAGGCATCAGCCATCAACTTCCTAGCATCAGACCTAGTAGTAGGTCTTCTTATAGGAACCTCTTACACTATCTTTTCTTTTCCCTTTCTTGACACCCCAACCTCCCTTCTTTCAACCTTCCATTTAAAGGGTTCCTCATCACTTTCAGAATCTGAGGAGTTAGAAGAAGGATACCTCCCAAAATCTGGAGTTTTATAGAAAATGGGTTGAGTGTCTCTTACCTCTTCACCTTGTAAAGGCTCATTTTGTTCAGCCTTAGCTTCTTCTCTCATCATTGCAAGACTTTCGATTACCAGTTCTTCACTTGCTGCCAAAATGTTTGACTCAGATGATTTATTTCTTGGTAAATCTCCTTCAAATAGATTGTCTGGTAATATCTCATGGTAAGGACCAGGTACAATAGGGATACTAGTGTTGTTCAGATCTATGGAATGGAAAGGATTTTCAGGAGGTTCTTGCTGAGAACTCGAAGGAACACTAGAGTTGGACTCTACTGCTGAAGGAGAGTAAAAAGCAATAGGTTCAATCTCACTGAGTGCAGTGAGCAATTGCTTAGAGGTTGAAGAAGGATCAGACATCTTGAACAGAATAAGAACAAAAACAGCTTTTCGAAGACAAAGAGAAAGGAATAAAAAAATTCGTCTTTAACTTTTCCCCTTTTTTTTGAGTGAAGGAATGTTGAGAGCCAGATGAGAAATTAAAAGGAGGAAAGAGGGTTTAAAATGGATTTGAAACGGTGCCAGGTCCTTGATTTGACTTGTCGCTTGAAGAATAAGCGATGGGACTAACGGTCAGAATGACCGATGACTGACATGTGGTATTATCAACAGTCATATTTTTCCAGTTTAAACTTAATGTACAAATGCTAACCTGGACAGGAACCAGGTCCCATAACATAGTTTTATCATCATTCCTCAGCTGTTCTAGCCATGTCTTTGCTAAGCTAGTCCTTCCTGAAAGTATACCTACAATAGGTACAAAAATGATCTAATCTAGATAATAAATTATTGACACAAAGGATACCTGTACTGCAAATTTAGCCATCAAAGGAATTCAACTGTTGAAGCTCCGGAATTTAGTTAGAGATCATCATGCCCAAATTTAACCTATTTCTTTCAAATTGATCTTTACTGAGAGCCTTGGTGAAGATGTCTGCAATTTGTTCCTCCGTTGGACAATATGTAAGCACAATGTTCCCTTTTTCAACACTGTCTCTCAAAAAGTGATGTCTAACATCAATGTGCTTTGTTATATTATGGTGAACTGGATTTTTTCCCATACTAACTGCACTAGTATTGTCACACATAAGAGGAATACCTTTGATATTTATACCAAAATCTTCCAAGTGTTGCTTGATCCATAATAACTGTGAACAATATGCAGCAACTGCTACATACTCAGCTTCAGCTCTTGAAAGAGCCACAGAATTCTGTTTCTTAGTTCCCCAAGAGATGAGTGAAGATCCAAGGAAATGAGCCATTCCAGAAGTACTCTTCCTGTCAACTTCATAACCAACAAAAGCAGCATCTGCAAAGCCAACTAGATCAAAAGTGTCACCTACTGTATAGAAAAGGACCAGGTCCCTTGTCTTCTTCAAGTATCTTAGAATACATTTTTTAGCCTTCAGATGTAAATCACGAGGACACGCCTGGAACCTAGAACACATTCCAACACTGTAAACAATATCAGGTTTGCTAGCAGTCAGATACAACAAGGACCCAATGATTCCCCTATACATGGTTTGATTCACAAGAGGATCAGATTCCTCTACTACAAGCTTGGAGTTTGTTCCAATAGGAGTATCAATAGGCTTTGAGTCAAACATATTGAATTTCATCAGTAGCTTTTTAATGTATTTCTCCTGACTGATTGAGATTCCATTTGGTGATTGCATGATTTGTAGGCCAAGGAAGAATGTCAGTTCACCCATCATGCTCATTTCAAATTCCCTTCTCATTAATGATGAGAATTGTTCACACAATAGTTCTGAAGTAGCTCCAAAAATTATATCATCCACATAAACCTGAATAATAAGTAATTCTTGTTCTCTTTTTAATAAGAACAAGGTATTGTCTATTTTTCCTCTTTTGAAACCATTTTTCAATAGGAACTTTGACAGTCTTTCATACCATGCTCCAGGAGTTTTTTTCAAGCCATACAGAGCCTTATTCAATCTGAACACATGATCTGGTAGCTCAGCATCTTCAAACCCCAGGAGTTTGTTTAGCAAATACCTCCTCTTTCAGATCTCCATTCAGAAATGCACTTTTGACATCCATTTCATACAACTTGAACCCCATGAATACAGCAAAAGCTATTAAAATTCTAATGGCCTCCATCCTTGTAACAGGTGCAAAAGTCTCATCATAGTATATTCCTTCTTCTTGATTGTATCCTTGAACCACTAACCTAGATTTATTTATAGTAATCACTCCATTTTCATCGAGCTTGTTTCTGAAAACCCATCTAGTTCCTATCACTATTCTGCCAGCAGGTCGAGGAACCAGGTACCATACCTTGCTTCTTTCAAACTGGTGAAGTTCTTCTTGCATTGAGTTGATCCAGTCTGCATCACCTAATGCCTCTTTCACATTCTTAGGATCAATAGATGATATGAATGCTGAGAATGCAGCTAGATTTCTTGTTTTTGATCTAGTGTTAATTCCAGAGTTCAAAGGAGAGATAAGATTATCAAGAGGATATGATGAACTATGTTTCCATCCTGGTCTCAAAGCAGACTGGTTGAGCTGATCAACATATTCTTCTTCTTCTTCAATGATGGCATCATTTTCTGGAGAGCTTGAGGTGCTCTGACTGGAATTCAGAATGGTACCAGGTACCTCATCACACTTTTCAACTTTATCAGTCTTTTCAGATAGACTATGATTGTTATTATCATAGTCATTTCTCAACTGATGGTCTGCACCAGCTTCACTTCCTTCAATTTTCTGTGAATTGAATAGCTTAATCACCTCATCTTCATCATTTGATCCATTGCTTTTCAAATTTACATCTTCATTAAACACAACATGAATGCTTTTTTCAATACATTCAGTTCATTTGTTGAAGATTCTGTATGCTTTGCTTGATGAAGAATATCCAACAAACACTCCTTCATCACTTCTGGGATCAAATTTTCCCAGATCATCCTTTCGATTGTTCAACACAAAATATCTGCAGCCAAACACCCTAAGATAGCTCAATATAGGCTTTCTGTTATTTACCAACTCATAGGGATTTTTATTCAAAACAGCCTTATCAGACACCTATTAGTAACATGACATGCTATGTTGACATCTTCAGCCCAGAAACTTTGAGGAAGATTTGACTCAATGATCATGGTCCTGGCAATGTTCACCAAGGTTCTATTTTTTCTTTCCACCACTCCATTTTGTTGAGGAGTTCTTGGAGCAGAAAAATTGTGACTAGTACCATTTTCTATACAAAATTGATCCAGTTTTGAGCTTTCACTCTCAGTTCCATGATCAGATCTGATCCCAACAATCACTTGATTCAATTTAGTTTGAATCAATTTGAAGAACACTACCAATTCTTCAGGTGTCTTCTTTTATTCTTAGGAATCTTGTCCATGTGTACCTTGAGTAATCATCAACTATGACCAGAATGTATTTCTTACCATTTCTGCTTTGAACCTTCAAAGGTCCACATAAGTCCATGTGTAACAGCTCCAGTACTCTTGATGAATTTACTTGCTTCTTTGACTTGAATGATGATCTGATTTGTTTCCCTTTAACACAAGCTTATTTTGTTTTCACAGAACTTTAACTTTGGCAAATCTCAAACCAGATCCTTAGAAATCAGTTTATTCAATAAAGATGAGCTTACATGCCCTAGCCGACGATGCCAAAGATCAGCATATTCATTTTGAGCACTAAGACATGTCAGATCATCTCCATGAGACGTTTCTAAGTTGGCCACATACATCTTTTTACTTCTAAAGGCAGTGAGAATCACTTTCTTTGTGGTTAGACTGACTAGAGTGCACTTCCAGAAGTAAACTTGACTTCATTTCCCTTGTCACAAATTTGAGATACACTCAAAAGACTGTACTTCAACCCATCTACATGATACACATTGTCAATTGATTCTTCAAGAGACTTTCCCACTTTACAAACTCCCAAAATGTAACTCTTCTTTCCATCACCAAAAAAGACACCTCCTCTCTGAAGTGTCTTGAGTGAGAGGATATTTTTGATGTCACCAGTCATATGTTTAGAGCATCCACTGTTCATAGACCAACATTGACTGCTGCTCCTCTCACTCACCTGCAACAAAATTAACTTGTTAAGCTTGGGAACCCATTTCAATTTGAGTTCCCAGAAGGCAGACAAGGGAGTGATCAGATTGTATCTAGTCCAATAGGGCAGTTTTTGAATCTTTCTAACAAAGGACTTTGGAGCAGAAACAAATTTTTCTTTGAAAATCTATAAGTTGAAACATGTTTTGGAAGACCAGGTCTCTCTTTTGATACTCTTTGCCTTTCAGTATAATTAGAGAGTCTTTCATGAGATTTTCTCCAGCCGGTACACTCTCCCTTTAAATGCCCATTTTTACCACAGTGAAGACAAAGCAGATTGTCAGACACAAACACATACTTACTGTGAGGATTAAAGGGAGGAGTGATATTCAAACTTCCTATACCTTTCTTGAAATTACTCTGATTTGTTGCACTTGACAGCAAATTAGAAGATTTTGTCCACTTAAGAGATTTTTCAAGTTCTTCCTTAAGTTTGACAATATCCTTTTCTAAGTTGTTGCTCTTCTCCAAAGCCAATCCCAGATTTTTCTCAGTGGTTTTCAGTTTTTCTTCAGTTTCAACTTGTAAACCATTAGGCCTTACATTTAGCTTTTCAGCTTCTTCATTTATCTGAGACAACTGTTTTTTAAGTTCAGTGTTGTCAGACTCTAGAGACAGCATTTTATCTTCCATTGTTGACATTTTCTCCTCCAATTTAACCTTATTTTTAGTTAAACTGTCAAGTTCAGCATTCATAATGTCTCTTTCAGAGGTTAACTCAATTACTGAATCAATCATAACATTTGCTAATGTTCTCAATTTTTTAAGAGAATAATTATTCAGATCATATTTCATATCAAGAAGAGTTACCTTGTCATCCTCTTCTTTATTTTATAGTATGAGCCATGAAAGCAAACATTTCATTGAATATGGTTTCCTCTTCATGAACCACCACCATAGACACGTCATTTGGTTCCTCAGGATCTTCTGAGTCACTTGAAGAGTCTCCCCATGCAGCAAGAGCCTTTTTGATCACATAGTCAGCAGCAACTTTGCGATCATTTGTACTGAGTACCAGGTCCCTTCTCTTGTCTTTGTCACCTCTTGGTTTTTGATGTTCTTTATTTTCAGTTTTGAGTAAAGGACACTCTCTAATAAAGTACCCAACTTTTCCACACTTGTAACATGTATCATTTTGAGTTGCAGTTCAAGGACCATTTGTTTCCCTTCTAAAGCCTTTGTTCTTTCTCACAATTTTTTGAAATCTATTGATGAGATAAGTCATATCATCATCATTGTCCTCATCAGATTTGTATTTCAGCATAAAGGACTTATTTTTTTTGACTTCCTTCTTTGACAGATCATGATTTCGATTCATCTCATGAGTCTTCAGATTTCCATAGAGAGCATCCATTGTCAGCACTTTCAGATCTTTTGCTTCATTAATGGCATCAACCTTGCTTTCGCAAGACTTTGGAAGAATTCGAAGCACTTTCCTGACTTGCTTGATCATGCTGATTAGTTCTCCAAGACTTTTCAACTCGTTGGTAATGGAGGACAATTTTGTGAACTTCTCATGAATGGCTTCTCCTTCTTTCATCTTGAAATTTTCATACAAAGAAGTGAGCATATCAATCTTTGACTCTTTGACTTGTTCAGTTCCCTCATGAGCTGTTTTTAAGCAGTCCCAGATTTCTTTTGCAGCCTCTGTGGCTGAGACACAATTGAAGTCATCTGGCCCTATCCCACACACAAGAAGATTTTTTGCCTTGTAACCCTTTTCGATCTTCTTCCTATTAGCTTCATCATATTTTTGTCTAGGCTTTAGAACAAGTCTGGTTTTCTCTCCATCCTTTTCTTCTATCATCGGAATAAATGGTCCATCTAGGACGATGTCCCATAGCTCACTATCTTCAGCCATTAGAAAATCATGCATTCTAACTTTCCACCAACTGTAGAAGTGTCCATTGAAACGAGGAGGTCTGGTTGAAGATTGACCTTCTTCTAGATGAAGAGGAGCAGCCATTCTAGAACAAATATCACTTCCTTGGTGTTAACCAGATAGAAAGTGCCTGCTTTGATACTACTTAATAGAATATATGCCTTCACTTATCAGTCAATGGACCAGGTCCCTTGATACACTAACAAGTATAAACAGAAAGTAAATGCAGTTTAAACAACACAACAATTTTACGTGGAAACCTTCTTGCTTAAGGGAGTAAAACCATGACCTGTCTCACAGGATTTTCACAACTGTTTCACTAATCTTTGCAAGCAAAAGTAAAACTAGTTACACAAATGTGAGAATAAGTTTTTAATCTCACGCTCAAGCAATAATCTCTATTGCTTGACAAGCCTAAGTAGAAGTTAATCTACCCACTAAACTATCCCTCCTAGACAACTTAGAATTTCAACACCTCACACTGATTCCTTTATAGATTTAGGAATAGTTTACAATGTAAGACCAAAAGAATATATTCTTAAACAACTACACTAAATGCTCCAGAGATTTTAGTTGTTGTTTGAATAATTCTGCTATTTGATTTTCGATAGCCTTTGCAAGTGTTCTTAAAAATACTTTATCAAGTTGCAAAAACTCAGGAATAATGTTTAGGAAAGTGACTTTTATATGAAAAAGTCCCTTTCCTTAAACTCTTGCCATTGGTTGGAGAAGTCTGACTTTACTGATGCCCTTGGGAACTGTGCACCCACTTTCTGTACCTTCTCCAGCTGGCAGTCAACATAATAGTCACCTTGGGGAACCTGGTACCTTTACGAGGTCCCTAAGTTTGTTACATCTTCAAAACTCATGTTGAGAACCTGGTACCTTTACAAGGTCCCTGAGTTCATATCATCAAAACTATAAATAACAGATCTTCCTCCCAACCTTGGACAAGAAACCATAAGATGCAACGACAAAGGGAAAAATGACTCAGGAGCAATTCCAAACACTGAAGCCTTTTTCACTTCTACTCAGTATCAATAAATTCTCCGACTACTTTCCAAACCTGGTAATGAGAAAACTACAGTTGAGCCTTCTGCAAATATTGCCACTACTGATGATGCAGGTTTGACTCCTCCTATTACTTTATCATGTAATTATGCCAATAAACAATGGATAATTGATAATGGAGCGTCTCATTATATCACATCTGACCTTAGTCTTCTAGACAAAGTTAGAGAAGTTCATACTAATGGAGATATTACGGTACATTTACCCAATGGTAAATTTGCTGCAATTACTCACATTGGAAGCACTTGTGTACTAGCTGATCAGTCTATATGCAATGTGTTATTTCTCCCTGACTTCAAGTTTAACTAGTTATGGTCTCAAAAATCACAAGAGAGTTACCATGTATGTTTGTTTCTTTCCTGATTTTTGTCTTTTTCGGAACCTCTTCACCGGTCTGGTGAAGGTGATTGGTAAGGAGTAACATGGCTTATACATACTACAAGGGGACCAAGTCAAGATCCAGATAAGCTGGTCACTAGTAGTAATCACGTTCAGATGTCTAAGTCTGTTAATTTTGAAGCTCAATCTGAGACTAGTAGTATATGGCACAAAAGACTTGGTCATACACCTACTGATATAATAAAGAGTCATGAGTGTCTCAAGACATTAAAGAGTACTGATCAAATTCATTGTACTGTTTGTCCTCTAGCTAGACATACTAAACTTCCTTTTCCTTCAAGTACTCATATTACCAAAACATGTATTTGAATTGTTGCATTGTGATATGTGAGGACCTTACAAAGTTCCTACATATAATGGAAAGAGATTTTTTGGTGACAATTGTGGATGATTTTACTTGGGTGTTTTAAATTGGATCTAAAGATGCCACTATGGTAGTACTCAAACACTTTCTAATGCAGGTTCAGAATGTATTTTCACCCACTATGAAAATTTTGAGGGCTGATAATGGATGTGAATTCTTTAAAGGTTCACACATTACTAAGTGAACTTGGCATTGCTCATCAGAGTACTTGTGTTTATACACCATAGCAAAATGGTGTTGCTAAAAGAAAACATAGAACGATCCTTGCCATTGACAGATCACTCAGTTTTCAAGCTTCAATACCACTGAATTTCTGGGGTAACAATATCTCTATTGCTGTGTATATCCTCAATAGGCTCCCTTTTAGAGTCCTCCCATACAAGTCTCCATATGAAAAGCTCTAACATCATTCTCCGTCCTTATCCCACTTAAAGACTTTTGAGTGCTTGTGTTATGCTGCTTCTCCAAAATTAGTTGATAAATTCTCCTCCAGGGCTATTCTTGCAGTTTTTATGGGGTATTCATCTACTCAAAATGGGTATGTTCTATATGACATTCATGCTCATAATTTCTTTGTAAACAGGCATGTAGTGTTTGATGAAGAGTAATTTCCATTTAAGAACATGCAAGCTTCCTCAGAACCTATCTTTCCAGTTCTTGATATTACAACACCTGCTGATGAGTGTGCATCTGAGTCAGTAGTACCTCCTTTTGAGCCTCTTATAGCATCTTCTGAAGTATCTTCATATCATAGTCCAATACCACCTCCTTCAACATCGCCTCTCCCAGTTGTTCAATATCAGGTTCCTGTTGCTTCTCCTAGAAGATCAGGCAGACAAAGTAGACTACCTCTATGGTTACAAAACTTTGTTACTAAGCCCAAAACCAATACTTGTCTTTATCCACCAGAAGATCATCTCACTTAGTCTCATTTGTCTCCGTCTTATTATAGACATGATCTGCATGCTTATTCATCTATTTTTGAGCCTGCATCATTTAAATGGGCCGTTGATGATTGTGAAAGCTATAGATCTAGAGATCGTAGCATTAGAAGCTAATAAGACTTGGAGCATTGTTGACCTCCCTCCTGGTAAAATACCTATTGGATGCAGATGGATCTATAAGGTCAAATACTTGGACTTAGGAGAAGTATAAAGATTCAAAGAAGGACTTGTTGCTAAGGGTTCAGTCAGAAGGAGGGTCTTGATTATGGTAAGACATTTAGTCCAGTAGCTAAGATGGTAGCTGTCAGGTCTATGGTTGCTTTGGCTGCCTCTAAAGGTTTGTACATTTATAAGATGGATGTGCACAATGCTTTTCTTAATGCCTCTAAAGGTTGGCTGCCTCTAAGGTCATATTGCATAATATTTAGTAATGTTTGGAGATGCTTTAGGGTCTTCGAAATCTATGAAGTAAGAAACAGTGTCAAGAAGTTCAGTTGAGGCCTAATACAAACAGAGATTACTTGGTTTATTGGCTTATACAAAAAGTTGGGAGTATGTATAAATCTGCATGTACATATGATGTCTGACAGTAAAACAACTATTCAAATAGCTGTCAATCCAATTTTCCATGAAAGAACCAAACACATAGATATTAACTGTCATTTGATGAGGGAAAGAATTTGTCAAGGAATGCTGAATACAAAACACATCAACACCAAACATCAACTAGCCAATTTGCTGACTAAAGGGTTGGGAAAGGAACAACACAACTGGTTATGAGTAGACTTGGAATGACAAATGCTTTTCAATCATAAGCTTGAGGAGGAGTGTTAACTAATGAAGATGGTTGACTTAGTTAACCAATCAGTATTAAGTTAGTTAGAAAGATGCCATGTTGGCATGAGTTAGTTACTGCACCTGCTTGTAGTATAAATACAGACCATGTACAAATACATTGTATCAAGCCACATTATACAATAAATACATCCTCTCTTCTTCCTTTCTTCTAGTTATGGTGTTTAAGATTGAGCTATGAAACTTACACCTATCTTTCGGATATCAAATAGAAAAGAAAGTTTTCAGATGAACATATCATTTGATATAAAATTGATGCAAAAGGGAGAAGCGGATATTAACAACTTTGAAGAATCAGCGAAAACAATATACTGAACTACAAATACAATAATTGAATAATCAGGAAATTAAAATACTATATGCTAAACTAATAAAACGTGTAAACATTTAAGCTATAGAAAAAAAAAGGCGCATATACCACGAGCATCTTCTTCAGCTAAAAAACTAATGATCCTTAGGTTTGAAAATATTTGAATCTAAAGGAAGTTTCAATTAAGGACATAAAGTTTATCACATCAAAACTTGAGGGAAATGAAATCCTTTTTATCTCTTTTTTTGGATTTATTTTCTGTTTTTGAATTGATAATTTTTAAGAACTGAAAGTATTTAAGTATCATACCCAATTATCACATCTCCTTAAAAACATACATTAAATTATTATACATTTAAGTAAATTGAAGATGAAAAACAGAAAAACTTTTCATTTCTTATAATTGTTTATACATTTTGCCTATAAATTAAAAAAGATTTGAGCATTCATAACCAACAACGAATCCATGATTTCACTTCTTCTTCTTCTTCCATTTCTTCTACTTCTTCACATTTACCAGTTCATACAAAAATTAAAAATTGATGTCTACACTTTTGTTAGAAGTGAATGTGAACATTTGATACTACATATCTGTTCGCGTACATAATTCTGAACTCTGCAATCATGTATATATTGTACCAAGAGTAATATAAATAGTACATTATAATGGGGTCCCATTTGTCATACATTAATGACATATTCCATTAACACGTGTATTGCTCTTAATTCATCAACAAAAATATAGTTGTGTTGTGATTTTCTATTTGATTTCTCACGTCCCTTGAGATTCATATTTTCTTTTCCACTGGTAGTATACGGTTTCCTTCCACTGTGTGGAACCTAAGCGGACATCGATTTATTTAATTTTATGTTATTTTTGTTTTGCTTTTAGGTCAATTTTTCATTGGATCAGTTTGAATTTTCTTTCAGTTTTGTTGATTTATTGGGTATTTGCGTTTTAATACCATTGCATGCACTATAATATTTTAGAGTCTATTGCAATTTGTAGCACTGGTCCTCCTCTTCGACATGTCTA